AACCTAATCCTCCCTGTAGCGCCTCTCCTGTTTCCTATCCTATGGCAGTCATTATTTTAGACAAGTGATAGAGCTCAGCTCAGTAGCATTGTCATAAATTGAAGCCAAGAAGAAAATTTTATTCTTCTATTCAATTCTCAGTTCCAGTAAAAAAGTGAGGGAGCTGACCCCACCCCCGCCAGTCATCCCTATAGCGCCGATAACATAATTAAATACGTTTTGAACTGATTTTAGTTCAAAGCCTTTTGTCGGCACGAACATATCACGTAAATATATCACTACCATTACCCAATCAATTAGTTCTGAGACAAAAATGCTTGTTAAACTACAGTGTAACCCGGATATAAGAGAGTTGTCGGGACTGGAGATGAAGTCTCTTATATCCGGGTTTCTCTTATATCCGGGTTTGGTCTATTTTGTTTAGGTAAGTATGGGCTCTAATTTGGGACCAGAGAAAATCTCTCTTATATCCGGGTTTCTCTTATATCCGGGTCTCTTATATCCGGGTCTCTTATATCCGGGTTACACTGTATTATACTTGTAAAATCTGAGATACTTACAGGTTATGAATAAACAAATACATTAACAATGGCTTCACTTAGACATTTGAAGCCATTAAAATCACAATCGGTTTATTCGGCATCGTTTACCTTTAGTTTTTTCGACGTAGACTATGTGCCCATTCATTGAATGTCCACTTTTTATTCAGTGTGTTCTTCTTCGGTGCTATTCATAATGTTCAAGTGCCAATGTGGCACTCGCCGTCCATTCGCGCTTCCTTGAACGTAAGCTCTTAAAACCCCGGCCGACTTTTCCTCCGAGTGGCCAAGTACCGTGGAGTCCGCGTTATTCATTCATTTTCCTCGTAAATCGACATCGACAGGTTATTTTTCCGCGGTCTGAGTGAAAAAAATTCGTTTTAAGTACTCATAGAATTCAACCAGACGCTAAACGTAACTTTATAAGGCGGTTGCATTAGTTGTCAGAGTTAACAGTAAAACTACACGTCGGCAGATGCGGATATATATATATATATATATATATATATATATATATATATATATATATATATATATATATATATATATATATATATATATATATATATATATATATATATATATGTATATATATATATATATATATATATGTATATATATATATATATATATATATATATATATATGTATATATATATATATATGTATATATATATATATATATATATATATATATATATATATGTATATATATATATATATATATATATATATATATATATATATATATATATATATATATATATATATATATATATATATATATATATATATATATATATATATATATATATATATATATATATATATATATATATATATATATATATATATATATATATATATATATATATATATATATATATATATGTATATATATATATATATATATATATATATATGTATATATATATATATTACTTTTATTATTCTAAACATTATTTTTAGTGCGTAAACTTTTTGGACTTGACAACTCTATTTTTATTTCTTCTTATTCTTAAACAATGAAATTAACGTCGATCGGTCCAGACGGAATAGTCGACCAAAAAAAAAAGAAAAAAAGTAATGAGTGGGATCGAACCTGTATTACCTTTTTTGTCCGAAGGAAACTATTCCTATAGAAGGAGCGTACCCTTATCGATTAAGCTACGGGAGACCGTGACGGTTAGGAACATTTCAATTACCTATTTAATGAATGCACACCTCACGTCTGTTTCGGACTTTTCGAATCTATATCTGAAAGTCTTCTTTTCATTCCCGAAACGTAAACGCAGTAATTTTTGAATGGATTCTTAAAATCCGACATCATTTCTTATTACTTGTAGTAATACGAACTAATGTCTGATGAAAAAAAAAATCCACTCTTCAATATCACGGACTGACGAAGGTTCAAGGAGCAATCGAAAATCTGGTGCTTTCCCCAAATTATATTTGTGCTCTCACATATCAATTAAATAAATATTAACTAAATAAAAAAATGTGCCACAGAAATATTTTTGCCATCTACTTTATATATATATATATATATATATATATATAGTACTGGTAATCGATCGGTTGGTATATAATCCGGTGGATCCAAGTAAAATTAATTATTAAAACTGATCCACAGATAGCTGGATGTTTTTATTTTAACAGAGTATATGTATTTTTCACAGCAAAAAAAAAAAAAAAAAAATACCTCAGCACTATGGACTATTTCAAACCGTTCTTCAAACAGCTATCGTCAGCCTCTAAGTGCTTCTCTCGGATCGTCGTTCTAAATCTATTTTCAAAGTCAGTCTTTCTCTAGTCGTCGCCTTGTTAATGAGAGTGGATTTGTGTTAGCGATTGGTGCGGGCGTAAGGTATCTTATCCCGGGGGAAGTGAATCCCGGAAAAACACAACCCAGGGCCGTTAGAATAAACACCACATAGTTGAAAGTGATATTAAGCTACAAACGAAAATCCTGACCATAAATAAACTCCAAACCCAGACCGCTTCCCTCGGGATAAGATACCTTACACCCACCACCAATCACTAACACAAACCTACTCTCATTAACAAGGCGACGACTAGAGAAAGACTGACTTTGAAAATAGATTTAGAACGACGATCCGAGAGAAGCACTTAGAGGCTGACGATAGCCGTTTGAAGACCGGTTTGAAATCTATGTTGAAGGAAATTTTTTTTGCTGTAATATATATATATATATATATATATATATATATATATATATATATATATATATATATATATATTAGTGACTATATATAATATCAGATGTCAGATGTCGATAGTACGACTCGGTCTTTTATACAACCATGCAATCTTCAGGTACGGAATAACGACTGACCATTAGAACGTTATGAAATTTGCGTCCTCATGGAGATGATTTAAAATAGTGTGCTAAAACTTGTTTATTTTATTATTGTTGCCTGTAATATTATAATTAATTATTTATAATTTATAAAATTCCAATTCTTAATATCGAAAGACGACGAATTAAAAAATAAAATATATTTTAAATAAAAAAATGAAATTATGTAAATACGTTATGTAGCAAGCAACTCTTTTTTACTTAAAATACCGTATAACATTTAAAGTAATATCTTATGGAACAAATTTAGTACTCACGATGCTAATAATAGGTTAAGACTATATATCTAATGTGTTTGGAACCGAGTCTTATACTTACAAATGTGAAATTACATATACACACGTTATAAATTAATGGAGTGCGATAATATAGGAATATATATATATATATATATATATATATATATATATATATATTTATAAAGGGTGTCCCAAAAATCTATACAGACTTTAACAGCTGATAGCTTAATTGGTGTTTTTTCTTTCCAGGTTAAACCCATTAGAATTAATGATGGCAATCAAAGTAAGCCTTGGACAAAGGAAATTTATTCTAAAATAACTGGAAATGTGAAAACGCAGTTGAAGTGTAAAGAAAGTTTAGGAGGGATTTTCAAACAGATCTGCCAACGCTACTTACCATCACTCGAATTATAGATAAGTTTGAAGCCGATGGAACTGTCCACGAGAAAGGTTCCTGAAGACCATGGACATCGACAAACACCACAAAGCAAGAAAGAGGACTGGAAACGTATCACCAATGTCCAAGAAAATCTGTGCGAAAGTGAATTGTGAGGTAGGCATTTCAAAATCGTCTGTCCAAAGCATTTTGAAGCGCTGTCAGTGGAAACATTTACATTCCAAGATTAGTCCATGCTATTGATGACGATGGTCGAGACTAAAGAGTGGAGTTAGATCTTACCATGATGAGATCTTGTCAAACAGAAGGATTGGAGGAAAGGGGTTTCGTAGAATACCCTCCACGTTCACCAGACCTCACACCTCATTTTGATGGGGATGCTTATAAGACAATATCTACGCTATGAAACCTGCAACAGTCGCTGAATTAAGATGAGCCATTAAATGAGAATGCGGAAAAATACCAAACAAAATGTTTGGTGATGTTTGCGATTCCATTGCTTCGCCTTTTGTCAGCAGTGCCTGGATCAGTTTGAAAACAGACATTAACAAAACAATAAAATCATGTCTCTAGGTTCTATTGAATATTGAAAATGAAATGTAAACACTGACTTTATAATTATTTAAAGTTTTTATACATTGTTTTGGGGCACCCTTTACACACACACACACACACACACACATATATATATATAATCATTTCACTCCAAGCAAATCAATAAAGCCGCTAGGACGCAAGAGGTTACTAAGTGTTCGAGAATATTAGAAAATCTACTATTAAGGAGATGGGACAATCAAAGAATAAGAATTAAAGAAACAGAAGATGGACATTGTATTTAAATTGTTGAAGATCAAAATTGACTGGGAAGCAAGAAGTCGAAAGAGAGTTCCACACGCGAGAAGTGCGATAGAAAAAACTGTTAGTATAAAACTTAGGGTTACATCAAGCCACTTTAACTGTAAATTGATGATACCTTTCGGCCAATCTTGTACTGCGCTTAAATTTTATAAAGTCTACGTACGATGGTAGAGTTTAGACCCACTCCCGCCTTACCATGCGCGGATAAATGAAACTCGAGTTGGTGATCCGTGGATGGTTAGGATCTCTCGGTTGGTGATCCGTGGATGGTGAGATCCTATTGTGTAACATCGTGAAATTTCTTCTCAGCAGGATTCATGAATTCTCTTGTTCATGAACGCACACGCATAATAAATAACTAGACAAATATGAACAGACTGAAATAAATACGATAGACAGAGAGATATGAACAGACAGTAGTATGTATATCAATATATATATATATATATATATATATATATATATATATATATATACTCATTATCACTCTCATTCTTCCTCTCTCCCCTCTCTCTATATATATAGAGAGAGGGGGAGAGGAAGAATGAGAGAGTGATAATGAGTTGGAGAGATATATGGATGTGAACAAACAGCAGATAGATAGATAGATAGATAGATAGATAGATAGATAGATAGATAGATAGATAGATAGATATGAACAAACAGCAAATACATATATACAGGCAAGCCTACATGATGTCAATCGACTCGTTAGACAAGTATAACTATTGCTGACATGCTGATACGGTTTGGGATTCAAATTTGTCCTTTTCCTAAACTGATTGCTAACCAAGGCTAGAAGGCCCAGTCTGTCTTGTTATTTAATCCATATATGGAGGGAGGGAGGGAGGGAGAAAAGATGAATCCGTACCTTTCTCAAGGTTTTTTGCATGTAAGTGAATTCAAGGAACTCCGCTGGAATTCGAACTCAGCTGTACGATTTCTCATTCCGAACTGCAATTCATTACACCACTCGCACATCCAAAATAGATATTAAGATATCAGCAATCTTGTACGGCTTGCAAAACACCGCAACGATTTAGCACCAACAACGCTAAGAATCCCAAAGACAAGCACATACAGACATACAAACACACATCATGGCTGTCTACTCGCTAGGCGTGTATGACGATCGTTGAGAGGTTGACAAATAACTGAATGTCCCTACGAATGTTAAATCGACAATGACTCCTGAAACCAGCGAATGGCCTACAAATTTTGCCACAAAAACTACAAAGTAAATCCGTGTTTTCAGCCTATCGAGTGAGAGACAATCATGGATTTTCAAATGTCACGTAAGTCCGGAGCGGCTCTTGCAGATTTCGCTGCGGGTAAGCGAATTTCTTTTCTTTTTATGTGCTATGTCCTTTCAGGACGTAGGAGATCATATGGCGCTCCACCTCCCTCTATCCCATACACCTCTTAACAAGTTCTTTCCCCCTGCTACCTCCCCCAGACCACGTTCTGTCGTCCACTTGCTTAAGCCCGCTAGGTATGTCATGCGTTCTTTTCCTTTGTCTCTCTTTCCCTCTATTCGATCTATGAGTGAGTATCAGATTCTCCAGGCCCTTCATCCTCATTATGTGTCCCAGAAATTTCAGTTGGCTCATCTTTATGTTAAGTATAAGCCTCCTCCTTGTTTGCATCTTCTCTAAGACCTCATTCTTGCTCACACGCTCGATCCATGATATCCTTAGCACCCTTTAATTGAATATAATCTGTTGATGGGTTGTCTATGTGACTCCAGAGGTGGCTTTGGCGTCTTGACTTTGGCAAGAATATTCCACTACACTCACGACAAACAAAGTGGGGATCACTGGGTCTACATCCTGTTTCTTATGGGAAGCTCTTTTGCCCAGCTTGTTAACTCTGCATGGAATGAGCAACACCCTTCAGTCCTTTTCTCTACTTGCTTTTGTCGTTAGTCTTTACTTTCTGTGAAGATCAAATTCTGATAGCGAGTTTTTGACACAGTCCTTGAAACTCTTCTTAAGTTTTTGCTAAGGTCTTTTTTTTCCTTCGAGCAGCTTTCGGTAAAGCGTTTGCTTGGGGACATGACTATCAACCAGCCATATCAGATGTCTTGCCCAGCGAAGGCGGTGCTTGTGTATATGAGCTTCTATGCTGAGTGTATCAGCTTTGTTCCAGTACCTCTGTGAACATGTGAAATCCAGTGAATGCCCAAGATTGATCTCAGGCAGCGCAGATGATTTACAGGAAACATTTAAATCTATAGCGGTTTAAATATTTCCTGTAAACCATCCAGGTCTCGCAAGATGGCTCGTAAGAACACATTCATTATAGACACCTGTCTTCATTTGAATTTTCAGGCTTTCCTGAAACCACGAAGATTCTTGAAGAACAGAAAAGGCGTCAGTGGCTTTCTTAAGTGATGTCCTAGTTGTGTGAACAACAGTGGCTCATAAATCCAGCCATCGATCTGCATTTCTTGTTACATAGATGGCATGTCAATTCATCTCCGGGTGGTGGAAGTTAACTTTGAATATCACTTCCAATGTGTCTTTTTATATGCCTTGACAAGCACAACCTGGACTTGCGCACTCTAGTGCAGGTCAGGAATTCAAAGCATATCAATCTGAAATCGTCATATGCAATAGACTGTTGGTGTTGGTGTGATTTCTGGTGATTGATCAGAGTAGCCCTGGACAGACATATCCGATTGCACTGGGCATATAGCCAGGTTGGCTCCTCATGACAATTCAGGGATCTCTTCCGAACCCTTCTCTTCACTTATGCATGCTTTTGTGATGCCTCATGTAAGTATATCTCTATATATAGTGGCAAAGCAAGTATGACTATCACTGACATGTCCAGTACATCAGATACCCCTACACACAACACTGCATTCATTTTTTGTGTGAATGACATTGGCTCATAAAGCCAGCCATTGATCTGCATTTCTTGTTACATATATGGCATGTCAAATCATCTCCAGGTGGTGGAATTGCCTTTGAACATTATCACTTCCAATGTGTTTTTTTTATATGCCTTGTCAAGCCCAATATGGACTTGCACACTCTAGTGCACACCAGGCATTCAAAGCATACCAAATGAAATCGTCATATGCAACTGCTGGTGTTGGTGTGATTTCTGGTGACTAAGCAGACTTGCCTTGGACAGACATATCATACATACCTACCTACATACATACATGTATACATGCACACATACATACATATATACATACATGCATGCATTTTGAAAAAATAACAAGAGCTAATTGTTTTTCTTGATATTTTATTTTGACAAAAATGACATTGATAAATAAATATATATATATATGTTTTATATATGCATCTGATAATTTTGCGACAACTTTACGTTTTCAAATTTGTCTTATACTAGTAAAATATATATATTTTTTTTTAATCTTAATAATGCTTTTTCAAAGTCCCAAAAAACAAAATTTTTGAAACGCTGGAAGTCTTCAAATAATAATCAGTTTTATAGTTCAGAATATTTTATAAGTTTCCGTCCAGTCTGTAAAACTGGGATGCCATTTTAAAACTGGGATGCCATTTTAAAACGAGTAATGGAAGGAGAAACTTTTCAGGCCAACTTTACCTTCTTGCTTAGCGTTTTCTTCAAAGTGTATAAAAGCCAGATATTTACAACCTTTCAATTCGATAGTATCGAATTTTTTGAAACGTTTAATCTTCATGCCCGCAAAAAAAACGGTATATCAAAAGGATGGTTATTCCCTTGACACCGCTATTACTGTATACACTTTTGACTCCCTCGACAATGTCTACTTACAAGATTATAACAATATGTTAACCAAGTACAATAATATATTTATTATTTGCCTTTTATAAAGATTTACTATTTGCCATTTTATAAAGAAATAAATTTGAAAAAGAATTAATTTTATTCTAATATTTATAAAAATTACAAAAATTATCAAAATATGTAAATCAACTAAAATGTAATATTTATTGTCTATCATTTTATAAATAAGTATAAAAGCATTATTTTTCATAATCTTATGAAAAATATCAATGAACTATAAAAGGAAATTTGAATAAACATATGATATTATCTATTAAGCTTTTTAAAAACAATAAAACTTGCCGATGGAGTCAAGAACGTACACAGTAAAAGCAGTGGTAAGGAAATAACCGTACTTTTGATACACTGTTATATTATTACTATTATTATTTTTTAAGCACGGAGATTATAAATTGTCCAATGTTTTTGTAACATTTGTTGCTATCCCATTCATTTGTAAAGGCTGGAGAGAGATAACTTCTTTTTTTAAGACATTTTCAAAATATGGACTATTCGATGTGACTCCATCCTTCTCAATTTTATATACAGTGGAATATGATATGAGATAACGATATATATTTTTATATATCAAGAACAGTATTGATGGAATAGTAAGACAGAATGGAAAAAGTTTATATGTGACGCGTTTAATCTGTTAGGACTTCATCGGACTGGACGAGAAGACATTGGTCGTCTCAAAATTATTTTAAATAATTTTTTGAAAATAATTCTTCAAATAATTTTTTTACAATCTAGCCGAATTCATATATATATATATTGGCCTGACTGTAAAAACTTCTTTCAAAACATTTTTCAAACTACCAGCGTCTTTTGTTCATACGCATGTGTAGCCAGCAACAACGTCAACAAAACCAATCCGATAAAGTCCTAACGGATGAAATGCATCACAAATAAACTTTTTCCACTTTGTCTTACAATTTCCTCAATACAGTGGAATATATTTTAAAGTTGTCGCAAAATATACCAGATAAATTTTGAGCTTTTCGCTAAAGGACATTTTGGAAGAAGTATTTACGGCGGTATGCCAACATTAGTTCTTGGGGAAAGGAAAAATAATTCGCATCAGTATCTAAGAGCTAATTTCCTTTACCACAAGTTGTATATTGTTTGAAAAATCACATCACTGCGGCATAGTTTCAAGGCTTTAAATGTTGAAGCTTTTTTGAGCAAGCACTGGCTTAGAACTCTTCTGATATTTTTAAAAAGCTGCGGACGAACCACTAATTTTATTTATAGGCTTTTTTTTTTAATTATTCATGAGGCGCTGCTTTCGTTGGCGCATGGAATACATTATAGAACATATCAATTGTTTTAGGAGTTCCCGATTTTTGTGGAATTTCTTTTGGAAATTCGACTCGTGGCAAATATTCTGTATCTTCGAGGGTAACTGATAGCCAGAATATGTAAGCGAGGACATTTTCAAGAAGCGGTATTAAAAAAAAAGTCAAAAACAAATAAAGATGTTGAATCCATTCTTCATGTTTCGTATTTCTTTCCTTTCCTTTTATTTTAAATTCGCGATTGAGGCCGAAATATGAACATATTACGAATTATTATCCTTGTGAATAAGCCATATCATCCAGTTTTTCTTTTTTCTCTGTAAGTGGTCATCAAAATCTGATACGAAGTTGTTGAATGATATTTTATACGCGTGTTTGCACGCGGTAAAGAGTACGTGGTTATATTTCAGTTCCAATGTAAATGTTTCAATGATGGGTATGTTGAAATATATGTGCAGATACAGTTATTTTACATATGGTGAAGCAAGTGTTATATACTTTGAGGGCTTATCTCAAAATGATATAAGTCGAAGGCTGGATTCGAACATTTATATGCGCATACCTATTTACAATGATCTATCTATCTATCTATCTATCTG